CTGGGTTTGTTTTTTGTTTTATTTTGTTTTTTTAAAGAGTGTCATGGTTAGGAGTCCTCTCATTCCCTCTTACATTTTCCACTACCAGCACACTCTTTACTGGTCAATGCTTTGGCATGTGGCTAAGATATGCAACGTGGGGTCTGAGTCCCTTTGAAGAGAGAGGGCGGAATATAAATAAAGTTATTATTATTTGAAACACAACAAGATGAGTCCACAGCAAACAAGATCACTCTGCTGGCTGTTGTATTGGATCTCACGTCGAACACTTCCCAAGTGTCTAGGACTGTGTGATGCAAATAATGCGTGCAGATCCCAGTAGGGTGGCCTTTTGCAGCTGGCAGATGGTAATTTTTTTCAGCGCCAATTGTGTTTTAAGTACAGGCCAAGGTCTTTAGGCACTGCACCCAGTGTGCTGATCACCACTGGGACCACCTTTACTGGCTTGTGCCAGAGTCTTTGCAGTTTGAGCTTTATTATTTATTTTTATTTATTATTTATATTATTATTATTATTATTATTATTATTATTATTATTATTATATGTCTGTGGTGCTGGAGGAAAGTTCTAAGAGTGCCTTGGACCGCAAGAAGATCCAACCAGTCCATACTTCAGGAAATAAAGCCCGGCTGCTCATTGGAGGGAAGGATATTAGGAGAAAAGATGAAGTACTTTGGCCACATCATGAGGAGACAGGAAAGCTTAGAGAAGACAATTATGCTGGGGAAAATGGAAGGAAAAAGGAAGAGGGGCTGACCAAGGGCAAGATGGATGGATGGCATCCTTGAAGTGACTGGCTTGACTGAAGGAGCTGGGGGAGGTGACAGCCGACAGGGAGCTCTGGCGTGGGCTGGTCCATGAGGTCATGAAGAGTCAGAAACGACTGAACAAATGAACAACAACATGTCTGACCAGCATTATTTTGTGCCAGTCCATCCTGGTTGTTCATCCCTCCTTCCTCCTTCCTCCCCACCTCTCTCTGCCCTATACCTTGCTCTTTCCTTAAATGGGATGTTTTGGCAAGTCAACATACATGTTGGTCATTTCCCACCAGGAATTTGTTGTTGTGTGCCTTCAAGTCATTATTTATGATAAATCTTAAGGAGATTCCACCTGAACATTAGAAAGAAAATTATGACTATAAGAGCTGTTCAACATTGGAACTCTCTGCCTTGGAATGTGGTGAAAGTTCCTTCCTTGGAGGCTTTTAAGCAGAAGCTGGATGGCCATCTGCTGGAGGTGCTTTGATTGTGTGTTTCCTGCACGGCAGGAGGTTGGACTAGATGGCCCATATGGTATCTTCCAACTCTATTATTCTATGATTCTATGACCTTTTCATTAAGTTTTCTAGGACCGAGTGTGTATGACTCACCCAAGATCACTCAGTGGGTTTCTATGTCCAAGCAGGGCATCGAACCCAGATCTCTAGACTTGTAGTTCAATGCTCAAAGCACTGCACCAAGCTGGCTGTCCCATCAGGAATAGTGAACAACAGACCATTGCAACAAAAAGAAGCTGCTTTATTTTATGTGTTGTTTTTAGGCACTTTGTGTCATATGTAAGCTGCCCGAGTCTCTTCGGAGACATGGAGGTTGGGTACAAAAATAAAATTATTATTATTATTATTATTATTATTATTATTATTATTATTATTATTAAGGGCAGGTCTGACTTCTTCAACATGCCACTTGGTTCTGTCTGATCAAACAGTCTCAAGAGTCTTTCACATCATCTACTTATAATAATAATTTTGAACTGGAGGTACTAGCAACTGAACTCTGTGTAAAACATTCTAGGTTCATGCTGCAGCAAAAAAAAAAAAGGGTAAGTGCTATTTTTAAAGAGTTTTTTCCTGGCAAACTACAGAAAGAAAGACTAGAGAAGATAACAGAAGAAATATAGCAGGTGCACAAGATATACCACAATACTCTGGGATATTTGGGTTGGGAGGGGGGCATCATAAATAGATATTTCAGTTTGACATCCTCCTCTAACTTAATTGATTTGCACTCTAACAACCCTAAGGAAGTTTGGCATTTCAATTAAAATAGATTTGGAAATGTCAACTCGTAGATTATGGGTCTCTTTCTGGGCCTGTTTCATGGCAATCTTTCTTGTTTCCCTATATCTGGGTTGATATTTAATCAATCTGAGTGAGAGACCAAAATGTTATTAGCATATGTTTATTTGTAAATGTGAAACTTATCTTTTATTTTTTATATTCATCATTATTTCAAAGAATAGATGTAGGCAAATAGAGCAGGCTTGTCAGCACAAAGAACACATGGCATTGTCTTATACTGTGAGAAGCCTCCAATCCTTCTATTTGAGCTGTCAACCCCTCCTGTCAAGAGTTGTTTGGGATCTTTGATAGAGAGAAACTAAATAATTTTCCTTGAGTGACTCCCAAAAGTTCCTGGTGCCCTATATGATTAATAAACCATAATGTGAAACTTTCCTCTGGGCATATAGTGAGCAGAGAGGTTGAGAAAGAAAGCTTATTGAGAACACGACACTTATGAAACACTGCCTCTCCACATTTATTCCACAGACCTAATTCATTTCAAACTCAAATGGCTTTTAGGAAGGTGTTGACATCTGTTCTCTGTTATGTGTCCTGTAGATGTTATACTGTTCACAGCCAGTCATTTTATCTGATGTACTGTACTTTGTTTTGCTGATTTGCTTCTGAATTTTCATTAAGCTGCCATTAACGGATGCTGTTAGTATAGGAACATCAATGTAATAAACCATATCAATATTGAGGTTTGGGCACTCCAGTCTAGGTCCAATCCCACTTAAGAAAGATGTGTGTTCTTGACCAGTTGTGCCATGATGGGAGACATGTCACATTACCAGGGCTCTGCTGTTATTTCCAGCAGAGGTGAATCAAACAAAAACCCAGTTTGATATTGTTGTTGTTCATTCGTTCAGTCGTTTCCAACTCTTCGTGATTTCATGGACCAGCCCACGCCAGAGCTCCCTGTCGGCCATCACCACACCCAGTTCCTTCAAGATCAATCCAGTCACTTCAAGGATGCCATTCATCCATCTTGCCCTTCCTTTTTCCTTCCATTTTCCCTAGCATAATTGTCTTCTCTAAGCTTTCCTTTCTTCTCATGATGTGGCCAAAGTACTTCATCTTGGCCTCTACTATTCTTCCCTCCAATGAGCAGGCTTTATTTCTTGAAGTATGGACTGGTTGGATCTTCTCACTGTCCAAGGCACTCTCAGTTCAAAAAGCCCCAGTTCTGTTTTGTTTTCTTTTTGTTAGAAGAAAAAGAATAGAATCCTAGAGTTGGAAGAGACCTCATGGGCCATCCAGTTCAGCAACTTACCAAGAGGCAGGAAAATTGCATTTAAAGCACCCCTGACAGATGACCACTCAACCTCTGTTTAAAAGCCTCCAAATAAGGAGGCTCCACTACACTCCATGGCAGAGAGTTCCACTGCTGAACAGCTCTCACAGTCGGGAAGTTCTTCCTAATGTTCAGATGGAATCTACTTTCCTGTAGTTTGGAGCCACTGCACACTCTGGGGCAGAAAGTTCCACTGCTGAACAGCTCTCACAGTTAGGAAGTTCTTCCTAATGTTCAGGTGGAATCTCCTTTCCTGTAGTTTGAAGCCATTATTCCACGTCCTAGTCTCCAGGGCAGCAGAAAACAAGCCTGCTCCCTCCTCCCTATGACTTCCCCTCACATATTTATACATGGCTATCATGTCTCCTCTCAGCCTTCTCTTCTGCAAGCTAAACATGCCCAGCTCTTTAAGCCACTCCTCATAGGGCTTGTTCTCCAGACCCTTGATCATTTTAGTCGTCCTCCTCTGAACACATTCCAGCTTATCAGCATCTCCCTTCAACTGTGGTGCCCAGAACTGGACACAGTGTGATTCCAGATGTGGTCTGACCAAGGCAGAATAGGAGGGTAGCATGACTTCCCTGGATCTAGACACTAGACTCCTATTTATACAGGCCAAAATCCCTTTGGCTTTTTTAGTCACCACACTACATTGTTGGCTCATGTTTAACTTGTTGTCCATGATCTCATGTCTCCCAAGATCTTACGTCTCCAAGATCTTACATCTCCAAGAGATGGAACATAGTGTTGCATAAATTCAAAACATTCAGCATTGGCTCGCGAGTAACTTAGGAGTCCTTGATCTCAGTGGGTTAACTCCTATGCATGACTACATCTGGATCCAACACCAAGTGATTTTGAAAAATTAAAAAAAAACAAAATGTTTCTGAAATTCTGATTTGGGAGATACTTTTCCCTAAGTGTTGATGAATGAGAAATACCAATATTAATATTTTACTCCTTCTAATTTCTTCTAATTAGAAATGTAGCCCTCTCCATCACTAATATCCCCCAAAGAAATACAACCAGAAGATAAAATTAAAGGACTATAAGCAAAATTTTAAAGCATTATCCAAAATTTGGGAAGGCTGGATGTTTAAAACCAAATGTAATTCAGTAGACCCTCCACTTTTGCATGGGTTAGGGGTACAAGCTTCCATAAAAATAAGAAAAACGTAAATAAAAAACATTATTTTAAAAATCTTAGATAATTAGGAAACTTGAATGTCTCAAATATGACTCTATGACAGTGGTTCTCAACTTGTGGGTCCCCAGATGTTTTGGCCTTCAACTCCCAGAAATCCAACAGCTGGTAAACTGGATGAGATTTCTGGGAGTTGTAGGCCAAAACATCTGGGGATTCACAGGTTGAGAATCACTGCTCTATGGACAACTACCTGGAGGATATTAGAAAGAACATACTAACCACATCAGGGAATAATTAAACACAAAAAAGTTAATCCTCCACAAGGGCAATTCAACAGATGTGTCAGCCTTGTCCTTCATCTGAATACCAAATGAAAAACAGCGAGGTCATTTGGTGTTTGTTTTTCCAAGTCACCTGTACTTTTTCTCATTGCCCCTCAAAATGGACTGCTATGTCTGTAATGGGGAATGCCTAAAGTATAAAAGGAGCCATAACCGAGTTCAAGTCCGGACAGTCATTCATCATGCTGAGGCTTGTTGTTTTCACCGCTCTTGTCCTTCTTGGTAAGTAATTTGGAACTGGAATATTTCTGTATGGAGATTCAAAAGAACAATTGATTTTTTAAAAAACCCTGAAATACAAGACAATAAAAATTCTTAATGTATTAAAAATGTAAAACAGTAGTTCTGTAAGGTTGAAACAATATGGTGAAATAGTCACATCACTCTGTCTCATGACATGACCATCCCTAGATTTATTTTATTTTATTTTATTTTCATGTCAGCGACTTGAGAAACTGCAAGTTGCTTCTAGTGTGAGAGAATTGGGCATCTGCAAGGACGTTGCCCAAGGGACACCTGGATGTTTTGATGTTTTATCATCCTTGTGGGAGGCTTCTCTCATGTCCCTGCAAGGGGAGCTAGAGCTGACAGAGGGAGCTCATCTGCGCTCTCCCCCAATTCGAACCTGCAACCTGGTGGTTTTCAGTCCTGCCGGTACAGGGGTTTAACCAATTGCGCCACCTGAGGCACCTAGTCCTAGATATGATGCAGACAGACAGTTTCAGCTCTGACCAGATATCCAAAAATATTCCATGGTTCCTAGATGTCCTACCACGGATGCACATAGAAGGCACTGTAAATGGCCACATCTCTCTCAGTAATCACTGAACAGTTGGTTTGTTGCATCTGACGGCAGAGATTGTGATGCTGATATACCATATTACTTTTGAAGGACACTGTTCAGAGGAGCCGCTGAAGGGAAATGAACGTGTTGTTGGGGGCTACGAGGCAAGGAAGCATGCATGGCCATCACAGGTAAACATATTGTCTGCTTTCCAGAAAATCCAGGTCTTTTCCACTCCCTCTTTAGCATATCAGGTCAACAGGGAGGAAGGGAGTTACGTTGTGGGAGTTGTGAATAGGAAATGAGACAACCACAAAAGCACCTTTACTCCAAGTCTTCTGTTCAAAGTTGAAGTCTCCTTGATTGCTTTTTAAAAATGTTAAGAGGAAGGAAAGTCCTTTAGGCTGTGGGCTAAATTGAATATCAGACAAGTTCTCAAAGAGTTACATTCCAGAGGTGGACAGGACAAAAAGCAACTAAGGCTGGATCTAC